AACCTTATCTTCGTAATATTGCAATAGTGGGATATCATACTGAGACTATGTTGCCAGTTATAGGCGAGTTTAAAATTTATCTTCACTTGTTTTCATTCAACTCCGGCAATTTTTCATAACATTCGATGAAACTTCCGATGACCGTTTTATTTAAACATTACTCTCGGATGACTTATTCAAATTAAGGAAAATGGGGGAATATAGTAATTTATTTGCAGTTTTGTTAGATATCTCACTATCGCATTATTTTGTTGGGCAAACTCTTGTCATTTATCTCACTATGTTGTCGGTAACCAGGTTTTTCCATTGTTTGATGAATAACTATTTTTTTTAAATATCCAAGTACTGCATATTTAAATAAGGGTTATTTTTATCATTTCCCATTCACGCATTTTCGCAAGATATCCCACTATTGCAATTTAACGACGTTATGCCTCTGATAACTGGGTTGCCCGTAGTTGTATCCTCTGGTTCTCTTGAGCTCAACGGATAGTGGCAGCAGTGAGATGCAGAAAAGAAAGGGCTAAGGGAGTTCCCTTGAAATACTCCCCTCCCCTCCCTATGATTACTGGATCCGTTTGGACTCTCGCATCACCTGCTGTTGGTCTTCCAGACCAGCATCAACTGTTCTATGCCACTCATGTGACGTGTATCAAATGCCTTTCGGTAATCGATCCATGCCACAGAGAAAATTCGCTCGCACTGTGATATATATAGCAGATATCCTAAGTCGTTGCTGACACGTTAGAGATAAAACATGAACGTATAAAATATACGTCTATGAGATAAAACTAGCTTGCAAGTGGGGATTGCAGCAGAGAAAAGGTGAACTCATTACAGTTTGTCCGAGCTTTCGGAAATGTATATATCCATCTTCAGGGTGACTACAATAGAATTGCTATGTGTACCAGGTGATTCAATACCCTAACAACACAGGGATGTCCTAGGTACGTCCCTTTTTTGTCCCGCGGTACAAGGACATGATTGGGACATCCAGGGGATATCCTGCAGTGGTTGTCCAGTGGACATTCCGCCCGGTACATCCCTAGGTTATCCTATTCGTGTCCCTGGAGTATCTGATATCCATTCACATCAGAGTCATTGAATTTCATCAAACTATTGAGTTGAATTTTTTCGAAAATGTTTGTTTTTCTTCCGGAAAATGATTGTAATGAAAATAAAGAATAAAGTCTCAGAACTTCTTAAGAAATTACCATTTTTCGCAGAAAGAAGTCGTACATGCATAATGCCCCTTATTTTTAAACACCCAAGAATGATAATAATTATACCCAATTCCTAACAAAGTATTGTATTAATTCAGGTTTCTGTAGTTAAGTCCTGTTTATAAATCTGTTTAGTACATAAATCTTCAGGAGGCATGATAGCCAATGGAGCAAGGTGCGTGTATCATAAGCGGAAGGTCTCGGATTTAATCCCTACTCGACCTATAACTTTTTTCTTTTGTCGAAAGGATGTCCCTGGGATATCCTTGGGACGTCCTAGGGATATCCTTTCATCGTACTTGGTACATCCCAGGGACGTACCTGAAAGACATCCCTTGGATGTCTTATTTTGTAGCCAGCGGATGTCCCTGGGACATTCCTAGTATGTACGTTGTCCCGACATAGGACATCCCTGTGATGTCCTAGTATAAAATCAGGGACGTCCCTGGGAAGTCCCTAGATTGTACTGGTGTTGTTAGGGTAAGGGTAACCGAGAAGCTGTATCTCAGGAACTAATGAATTGCTAACAGAAGGTATGGTTCGAGGAAGGAAGATTTGGTGAATAAAATAAAGATCCATACATACCATTGTGGTGCTTACCGCCCTCGCTAGGAGGCGTGTTTAATAAACTATTAGTTCCTGAGATACTGTACCTCGTCACCGTTATTGAATCATCTGGTACAATGACAGTTTTATTAGGAAATGTTCAAATGGTACTTACACTATTTGATGATGATCACTATGATGTTGAGAGAAAATTTTGAAAGTAGTTATAACAATTTTGATCTCCAGTTTTGGGGAGAAGTACGGTTCGCCCCTCGATAAACCACTCAGGGATTTGCTGCTCCCTATTTAGCCAGCTATTGAATAACCTGGTCAGAGACGTATGTTTATGAAAAGTTTCTGAAATATTGCCCTGATCCGTTGTCAGATTATACAAACTAGGAACTTTCACTACAGCAATCTCAAGATATACACAAGGATCGATTGTCCGACAAAAATATTGGAAAATGTGAAAACTTCACAAACGATATGATTTCCACAACATTCTCAAACACACGACATGTTTCGCTAACACAGAAGCTTCGTCAGGTGATATACTGGTACAATGAACGAGTTCAGACGAATCCATGAGTGGACATCAAAACCCGATCATCATTCCAAATTTTTTGGGATTTTCTCTCCTATTTTACAGATATTTTCATGGACGACGCTCTTCTGAAATATCAACAATTGTACCTCCCTTGGCAGTCCCCGCGAGATTAACCCGTCGAGTTGAGGCTTCGCACCCCTTCGTGGTCACTTTGGAGACCTGCAGAACATCTCTTTTCAAAGATTCGTTCATCCAAAGAAAAGCGAGGCTCTGGAACACATTGCCAAAGAAGGTGTTCCCCGAGGCTAAAAACCTCCAGAAATTCAAGAAGAACACCAATTCCTACCTTATTTCCCTTGGTTCTCACGATGTTCTCTGAATATTACTAGACAAGCCCAGTCAGTACATCCTCTCGTTGTCAACCTCGAAAGATGTCGAACAGCACTTTATCAAAACTCCTGCATCCATAGAAGGGCTAGGCTCTGGAATTCATTGCCTGAGAAAGTATTCCCAACAACATATAATCTCCAGAAGTTCAAATAAAAATGCCAATACCTACCTCCTATCCCTATCCTCCATAAGAACGCACGATGTTCTTTGAACATTATAGGGATTTCCTTTCGTGCGCTCCAAGCGATAAAAAAAAATGCCCGCGAAATATTTATGCATTTAAATTATGGTGACCTATTCTAACAGTCTTTCTCAATTTCCCTCAATTTGACCTCAATGGATTTGTCGGGTTTTGAATCTAGACGATTCACTTGTACAGTTGATAGGTCATTTAGTAGCTTTAGGAGAATCAAAATCTGGTTGAGGAGCACCATGACTGAAGCTCGACTCAATGGTCTCGCAATGATGAGTGTACACAAGCAACATATTTACAAAAACTTGACTGATTTCGTCAACGAAGTGAAAAACGAATTCGCAAAGAACCCTAGGAGATTATTTTTCAGTTGATTTTCGATATAGATGTTTTTCTTTTTTTTTAAATTTTTCTAATTAAACTTTTCATATTTGATTTTTCTCCTTAGCCTTTCATGGTGTCCACCCCTAGCTTTTCAGCTGGCGACGCCCTTGATGTTTTTTTCAATATTCTGTTTTTTTTTTCATTTTTCACTCATGATATTGGTAAGAATGGGCATTTGTTTCACAGGTAGGAGGAAATATAATTTTCAATTTATAGGCTTTTGACCTTGAGTAGTTAATAGAACGCCTGCGGCGCTTCTATTCTCTAGTTAATATGCTTGATAGGCACTAAAGGTACTCTTTTTCCATTATCAAAATCTGGTCACTCTACCTATAGCTCGAAAGTTAGGATTTAGTGCATATGTTCATATAAACTTTTCTTCTCCATATCAACGATTTGTTGGAAGCAACTTCATGTCCATTACACAGCTTCGCAGATGATAGTACCCTCCATACCGCCTTCTCTTCCAGGGCTCCAATACCAGCCAGGCAAATCAGAAACGAACGAGGAAGAAATGTTATGGACTTGGCAACAATTCTCGAATGGGGATCTAATAACTTGGTAGATTTCTATGCAAACAAAACACAAACATGCCTTTTCTCGAGCCTTTTCTCTAGAATAGCCGATCTCACTGTGCCCAACATAAGCTTGTCAGGAGTAACCATCCTTTTGAAGACATCCATTTCGATACATGGTATTACTATCAGCAATAACCTTGTTTGGAAAAATCACGTGAGATCAATTGCTCAAAATGCATCCCAAAAACTTGGTTTTATGTTTCGGCCAGGAGCTATTTCACTTCCAGTCAGCTGCTTATGATCTATAATGCACAGATCCGACCTGTCCTGGAAAACTGTTCCCATATTTGGAGTGCAGCACCCAAACATACCCTGAAACTGTTGGATCCTGTCCAAAAAAGGGTAATTCGTCTCGTGGGTGATGCCTCGCTCACAAACTCACTCACTTCTCTGGAACACCGTAGAAAAGTTGGCGATCTGGCTCTATTTTATAGATATTTCCATGGATGATGATCTTCTGATATATCAACAATTGTTCCTCCCTTGGCAGTCCCCGCGAGATTAACCCGTCGAGTTGAGGCTTCGCACCCCTTCGTGGTGACTCTGGAGACCTGCAGAACATCTCTTTCCAGAGACCCGTTCATCCAACGAACAGCGAGGCTCTGGAACACATTGCCAAGGAAGGTGTTCCCCGAGGCATATAACCTCCAGAAAATCAAGAAGAACACCAACTCCTACTTTTCTTCTCTTGGTTGTCACGATGTTCTCTGAACATTACAGGATATCCCTGTTCGTGGAAACCAGAACATAAAAAAGCCAATCAGTCATCAATTAAATCAATACCTATGTGCATTCACATTGAATCAATGGAGTTGAGTTCTTTCCTATTATTACAGGTTATAGGGGTACTTGATGCAAAAAAACTTTCGAGATCGTTACCCTTCAAGCATGACGTTATTGATGATTTATTTTCTATCGGTGACTCAGCATATCGTATCGAAAATATCCTGAAATTAAAATAGGAGTTTCAATGCCGCGAACGATTATTTCGATATCCTAACGTAGACGGCGAATGTCTATAAATCTATAAAAAAGTTCCTGAAATATTGGCGTGATCCGTTGCCGGACCATAGAAACTAGGATGTGAATTTTTTTTGGCGTAGTGCCCGTCGTGGTCTGATTATCCAGTGGCAACGGCCGCATTAACTCCAGTTTTCTATCTGGTACAAGCAAGTGTCGTTCTGGGTTTTTTTTATCTGTTAGTATTGAGTTAGGTGTCCGGTCGATTTTTTTTAGCTAGTGGTTGTGAACGCGATTTTTTGCAGAATGATCGAGATTTCGTGGTGAGTTTTCGATTTTTGTTTAAAGAAAAGTTTACGGAAGCGGAAATGCCACGGGATTTTTGTTTTTTTTTATCGATCGAAAATCTGACTTTTATCTTGAAATTTCGATCTTCATGTTGGAATCTTAACTTTCTTCTTGAAATTTTGGCGTTCAACTCGCACCAAGAAAAATATCTATTAGCTGTCTACGAAACTGTATAACCTTCAAAAGATTTCTGAATTGAATAGGCGCTAGCATAGTTGCCTTTTCACTGTAATCAAGTCCATAATTAAAAAAAATCATATAACTGTGAAACAACACTTATATGAAAATGAAATGACGCTCATATAGTGGTCAAATGATTAGCATTTCAATATCGAATAGTGATTGTATAAAAATGAAATAATACTCATATCAATATAATTTTGCTTTCAATTCGATAGTCAAATGATTGGCATTTTAGTATTGAGGTGATCAATTTTTTTCCAGAATAATGAAGTGAGTTGAAGATCGTCGAGAAATATTTAAAACATATCTACTCAGTAAATATACTTGAAGTGCATCACAAGGGCGAGATATTTTGGACACAATATCTCAATTCGGCTACGATAAAATTTATTCCAATTTGAAGTATTTGTTCGTCTTGTCACTAACTTGGATTATTAGTTAACACGAATGAAAACGAAAAATAAAATCAAACGAATCAAATAAATACATGAATTATTATACACCATGTCCAAGATAAGGATACGAAGGCATTCTTATCTTGGACATACTGTATACGCAATACAATCTATCTTCGATATAACTGGGTAAATCCAAGATTTCGCCACTATAATGAATAGTGAGGTAGTTAAAAAATACAAAATGTTATCCAAACTATTCCAAACTGGTAGAATTTCCGATACATTACCGATTTATCGTGAAACTATAACGCCCTGATGCAGTTCAACTTCCTGTATTTCCTCAACAAATCCTTTACTTGGGAGGTATATGAACAAATATGTCCATGAAATTTCTAAAAGAACTTTCAATTACTTCACTTTTTCAAAAAAAAAATGTCACCCTGTAAGAAGTGTTCACGAGCTGCTGTCCATACATATCAGGTATCCGTAGACGACTATGATTCAGATGGAACAAGTCAAGTAGTGTTCATGAGTGAGTGAGATGACTCATTGTGGTAAACGAGTATGACAAAGATGGTAAATGAAGAAGGGATGGAACTTAAACGATATACTTGTATAACTGTGAAATGACAACTTTTAGGATTTAAATGATTATCTTTTAAAATCCATCTTCTATCATCTTGTTCCATTTCGAATCTATAAGGTAACCTTAATGAAACAATAAGAGTGATTTGAAGCGGTGGCCTGTTTCACGTTAAAAACGTTGACTTTCCTCGTTCCTCAGATGACATTTTGTGGTTAATTCAGCAGTGATAGGATGTTTTTGAATAGATATTTGTATAACTGGATTTTTCTCGGTGCGTAATTTTAAATTTTTTCTCAAATTCTGACCTTTACGTCGAAATGTTGGCGTTGTCTGAAAATTTCGAGTTTTTTGTGTAAATTTCTACATTTTCCTCGCAGTTTCAAAAACACCATCCTATGTCACAAATGCATGCATTATCTGCATTAACTCCACTTTTCTATCTAGCACAAGCAAATTTCGTTCTGTTTTTTTTTTATCTGTTAGTATCGAGTTAGGTGACCGGTCGATTCTTTTACCCAGAGATCAGTCAGTGGAGTGGTTCCGAACGCAATTTTTTGCAGAATGATGAAGAATTCGTGAGAAGTTCTTGATTTTTTCAAAGAATAATTCTCGGAAGCGGAAATGCCACAGGATTTTTCTTTTTTTTATCGATCGAACATCTGACTTTACTCTCGAAACTTCGATCTTCATGTTGGAATCTTAACTTTCTCCTTGAAATTCTTGGCTTTTAACTCGCACCGAGAAAAATCGACGATATGATTGATAGGGAATATTGAAAAAATTGAGGAAGATCAGGAAAGAAAGAAATTCGATTCATCACTCGTAAACCGACGTTCTCTGGTTCTTTCAATTTAAGTTTCTGTGCTTTCTATTTAATTCCTATAGGCCTAGGTTCTATAGCCGGTGTGTTCGTGATATTAGTGGCAGCTACTGTTTCATTTTTAATTGTGTTTCGTGCTCGAATCTCGAGTCTCCTTCAAAATAATAGGAATAATTTCAATATCCTGTTTTTTTTTTCAATTTGTTGACTCATGATATTGGTGAAAATAGGCAGTTGTTTAGTTGTAGGAGGAAATCTAATTTCCGATTCGATGGTATTTGACCTTGAATAATGAGTCTCATGATATGTTCATGATATTGGTGAAAATAAGCAGTTGTTTAGTAGTAGGAGGAAATATAGTTGTCAATTTGACCTTGAATAATTGAGTAAAATGTTATGATATACTGAATACCTCACCTAGTAGTACTCTGTTACTGTTTTGAAAATCTGGTCACCCTAAATGTGAGCGTTTTCCAACTTGTTGAGGAAAATCGTCTTCAGGGTGCATTTTTTTTTCCTCAATTCATAGGAACTCTCTCCATATCAACACCTCAGAAATCACATCTATTCTGCATTTTCAATGTATCGTCAGAAACTATTCTTACAGAATTATGAAATTTCACAAATTGTTCTCAAGAAGTATACCAGCAGCATAAACATGGTTTTTTTGCAAGTTATTTACCATTTCGTACAAGTAGGAATAAGTCATTCTATCCTGTTGGGAAATAGTTGCAAGGTCAAACTATCAATCCCCGACGAGGTAACTCTTCAATGGGTGCCAGGGCATAAGGGAATTGAAGGCAATGAAGCAGCTGACGCTCTTGCCAGGCAAGGGTCTGCGGCGTTGTTTATGGGACCGGAACCTGTGTTCGCTATCCCCAAAACCTCAATACGCGGCTGGCTGGACAGGTGGATGCAAGAAAGACATCAGGCATACTGGAACAATGTCCCAGGACAAAGACACAGTAAACTGATGGTTGAAACACTGATGTCCAACACAGTGACTAACGACATCCTGAGCCTAAACAGAAGTCATATCAGACAAGTGACGGGACTAATAACCGGTCACTGTCCCTTGAGGAAACATATGCATCAAATGGGCATCTATACAGACGAACCCATATGCAGACTATGCAATGAGGAGGAGGAAACTATACCACCCATGTAATATTGGAGTGCGAAGCACTAGCGCGTTGGAGATACAACCTTCTGGGAGCAGTAAACTCTCAAGAGGCATTTTCAAAGAATGATTTGGTGAAGAGGCTGCTAAACCTCATCAAGGTAGCGAACCTGTTCACCTAAGTCAACAGCATGATCAGGAATACAATAGGCCCAAAGGCTGCAGTGTTTTGGGCTTCGAACCCTGACTGATCATTCTGCTATTGATCAATCAATCAATCAATCAATCCCCGAAAAAGTGGATAAAAACCTGCCTTTCGCCAGGGGCGCGACAAACCGTGCCGCCGCCAATGTGCAGAATATAATTTCACACCCCTCACCCCTTTTTCAGTAAACATTTATACATTAGTGGGTACACATATAAATGAAATCAAAATATATCGTAATACCTATATTTAATTTTGTTGATGAACAGGACCGTCTTTCACCAATTAGAGGCCCTGGGAACATTAGAATAATGGGGCCCATATGACCATAATAAAGTACTATTTTATTAGAATAGACATATAACGTAGAAATGCAAAGTTTCAGCATTATTTTTATTTCTTTACAGTTACATTAGATTATGATGAATAGATTATATCATGTAATCCACACTGAGTAACCAGCATCCACGATTAGTCCTTATATAAGTATCTATGCTGATTGAGAAGGTACCCTTCTAGATTTGAGTTGAGCAATATCGTTGATAACATCTTCAAAATCTATGTTTTCGAGCATATCACAATCATTCTATCGACATTAGCGACAAACTATTCGAACTCTGCGTTATTTTTCTTCATTCACTTTTTATTCGTTTCAATTTGGAGAAGGAGCTTTCCCCACTGCAGTTCGTTACCATCATGCTTAGAAAGATTCTGCTCTCTTTTTATGAATATTATCAACATATTAGTAGGTATTCAAAATGTTCAAATTGTATTCAATTTAGTGAACGAAAAATGATCTATACATTACGAAGTATATTATAGTTGAGACACGCTGTATATATTGAAAAACTTTGTTTCACTTTGTCGTACGTTTCCTTTATGCTGACCTTCATATTTATTTCAGGAATGATAAAAATATCATGTAATAAATATATCAATGATTTTATTATACATTCAGCTTGTCTTGAATTCACATCAACGTCATAAATTTCGAAAAAAATCCAGGAAAATTATTCCGGGTCAAGTTCAGTTGAGTTTGGGTTTTTCATGAATTTATCACGGAGGCAATATCTTATCAGATGTGGTCTAATCGAATCTTGAATGAAAAAGGGGATAGCTGTTATTTCTCAAGTTATTAGAGATTCCCCTAGCCAGTTAGATTATTGTGGGACAACGGAAAACTCAAAATATTATCAAAGGATTGAAAGAAAAAGAATGCTTTTACTTAAAAGCCGATAAAGGTAATAAGGTTGTTATTTTGGATAAACAGGATTATTTTCAAAGGGTTGACAATCTCATTGAAGATGGTCCTTATAGGAAACTAACGAGAAATCCATTACCTAAAATGGTCAGTCAAGTCAAATCAATTTTAAATAAATGCCCAAACCTTATTACTGCACATAACAAATATAAATTACAAATATCTAACCCAAGTGTACCAAGACTATATTGTTTACCAAAAATACATAAACCCGGTAAGAAAATGAGGCCAATTGTATCCGCAATTGGGTCTCCTACTTACAATATTTCAAAGTGGTTGGTTGAAGTTTTCAAAACTTTGAATAATCCTTATAACAATCATTCTGTTTCAAATTCGCTTGAATTTATCGAAAAGGTCAAAGGGTTGAATCTGACCGAAGGTGAAATCCTTATATCATTTGAT